CAGAAGCAATGCATGCACTTTGTTTCCAAGCTCTTTGAAGCGTTTCAACCAGCTGTTAAAATAGTCAGGTGTTGACAGCCAACTCGATGCACGCAATCCAAACCTCGCAACCAAATGGTAGGTCCTTATAGTAGGCCCATGGACGGCTGGAAAACAAGGTTCTTTCGCGACTGAAGTAAACTCTGGAAAACACAACAAATTATATCAACGAAATGCACATTTCAACGATATGAAATCTGGGAGGCCCAGAGTTCTCACACATAGGGCTGGTGAACAACTCCTCATGCCACTCAGGTCGTTTGTCTGGAGCGTGACGAGATTCTTTGTCAACTGAACTGGAACTGCTGTCACTGACGGTCTGAGGCAGCACCATCACGCAAGGCAGCAGGTGGTGGTTGTGGCCACCAGAGCCTCTTCACCACACGGGGATGCGGCCACTATCTCATGACAGTCGAGGAGGTGGGCTTTCATCATCCGAGCCAGAGTCCAACCACCCTCATCGCCACCCGATCGAACAGGTTTGGGGATGCCGCCATCTAGAATCTAGAAACATGGGAACCTGGCTGTCACCTTCATCACTGGACCCTTCACGAGAAGAACGGTTCTCTTCGGAACCATTTTCCGCACCATTACATTCCTCCATTCCTGATCTCCAACTTCCTCCTTCGCCACCATCGTCTTCAGAACGAGACCGTGGAAAAACATGTGCAGGAGCCGGATCGGATGCTTTGGCCTGCGTTGCGCAAACGCAAAATGCAATGTAATATTGGTTGGCCACAGTGACACATAGAAACCAATTCAGGTTAGAATCCCCTGCAGAGACTGTGAATTCGAAACCTTACCAGCACTGGGTTTGCCATCCCAATCCTTTGCCCGTGTTGGAGATGGCAGCAGCAAGGCTTTCAGCTCGGAAATGCTCGGATGGCTTCCAGCTTTGCCTTGAATGATTGCAGCGCAACCGGAAGACCCTTGCACACAAGCGATGAAGCCTAAGAAACTCAAACCAATAAACATGAAAAGAATCTGACTTGAACCGATTTGCTACTTCTCCATAGGCCTCTTGAGGGCCTCTATGAGATGTTTGACTTTCTTTGCTTCTTCAGAAGCCAAAGAGTGCTTTCTCTCTTCAGCATTGAGGGGCTGAAGCGACCGACCGTTGTACAACTTGTCCAGGTACAGGAAGGTGTCGACAAAAAGCTGGATGGTTCCTTCTCCCTCAACCTTTGAACGGTTTGATCCAGCAATGGTTCCAAACTAGGTCGTCTGCCTGAGGTCGTGTGATTGGATCAGTGAACTGGATCAGTGCCCCCCCCATGGCCCCCCTTCCCTTCAGACTCAAGAATCTGCGCCACAGACAAGGGTAGGCCAGATCTGTTGTAGGCCAACACCTGAACATGGAGCTTCCATGCCTCCCAGGTCCGGCCAGGCAAAAGCATTGCAAAAAGGTGAGAAGGTTCCAAGTACACAGATGGAAAACATCAAACGCATAAAGATGGAAGACAGCAAACCTTTCCAAACATCAGCCATGAAAGCTCGCATGACTGCACGCACACAGACCATCTAATCAAGCCAGTCTCATGCAAACGCATAATGTCAAACGTGTAATGTCAAAACCTAGTGGCTGCAATGCCGCAACAAACTTTTCCGATGTTCACGAGTCTAGCTTGCGACTGCATAGGAGCGACTGCGTAGGATGGTTGATGGTCCCAAAATGTCCCAAATGGCTCTGGCTTTGCAGAGCAACGTGTGACAGACAGTTCATAAAACCAGAGTCTTGCAGGTTCTTATACAAGATTACAAGATCGCTTGCAGTTTTGAGGCAATACATGTACCTAAAGTTGACACCGTAAACGCAATGTTTTTCTCAACGGTGCGTGAACCTAAAGTTCACTTGCGCGTACGTTGGCAGTTTGAGAAAGCAAGTGCGACACCCCACCACCCTTCGGGGTGCCTGGTCAGGACCATAGCTATGACCGAACAAATGAAGGGATAAAGGTTGGTCAGCGACTGTGAGTGAATGTGTCTTTTCTAGCCACTGCGGGTTTCCAGGTTCAGCAAACAGTTTTATAAATGTAAATGCTGACCAACTCATAATACAGTTTCTTGAGGAAACGATTTGCTGTATCAGGCGGAGAAAACGTTTTTTTTTGCGTGGTTGATGAGCTTGAAGGCTGCAATCAAGTAGTGCTGCGTCTGATTTCTGAGAAAGGGTAAACATTCTTTAGCCCTTGTGCCTTCCACTTGTCGGCCGTTATAGAAACATCCTTTGAGTGTTTCTGTGGATTGACGGTTGGTGTTCACCAAGTGATTTGATTCCTCTAAATGTATAGTGATGGTGGCGATGGTTCGCAAACAGGTGCAGGCTTAGAGTTCAATGAGTTGTGGACGCCTAGAGGTGGAAAGAGATGTCTGACATTCAGGGGTGGAGGTGCAACAGGGCCGCCGTGCTGTGTCAGGTTTTGGCCCGAAGGATGCAGTGCCCATTATAAGTTGACAATGCTCTTACCCATATTAGTTCCAAACCCATCAATCCAAAGAAGGAACCAACAAACCTTCCGTTATGGGCGCCCCCTCTCGGCGAGCTTGGGTTTTGCTGGCATTGCCGCTGGTGCCTGGGCATGTTGGAAATTGTTCGCTTTCTACTTGGCCTTGAGGGTTTGTGTGTAAAGAAACCGTTTCGTGCTGCCAATTAGGGTCGTACACACCAGGGGTCGAAGATGCGTACTGATGAGGATCGTCTCGGAGGGTGTTATGATGTAGTTGGACATACACCTCCACAGACTTTATCAAGCTTCCATGCGGCACTCAGTGAACAGCTCGATCTCGATGTAGAACTCGGTCTTCATGTTTTCAATCCATCCATGAACCTTCCATGAACCCAGATATATATATATATATATATATGTAGCGACCAGGAACCGTGAAACCCCCCAAAACTTGATTGATTCGCCCCCCACTCTTGGATTCATTTGCTCGAACATTTTAGATAGTATTTTAGGTCTATGTCGGCTCGGGCCATGTGGATTTGACATGAGATGGCCCCGGCCCTACCCATTTTGTCTGCCTGTCACCCAGTCAAAGACCTTGTAGAGGGGGCTGACGCTGGGTGGGGCCCAAGGGAGTCGCTGCAGTGTGAATTGATGTCGAGAGGGATCGAAGAATGTAAAGGGATGATGGGGATGAAAGACATGGAAAATGCTTGACAAAGACCACTTTGTAACTCCCAGGTGCACTTTTCGCCCAGATGCTTCCTTTCACAAGTGAGTGGACGTTGGCCGCGGTCAACATATGCAGCGCCGGCGACGTCGACAGTGATGAAAGCATCAGAGCTCCCAGAGTTTGACCTTAATAGATGCTCGCTGGCAAGAAGAGAGCAAGGCGGTGCAAAGGCAGGGTTCAATGAAACACCTTTGGTCCAAATAAGTTGGAGTACTTCACCAAAAAATAGTCAGGACACAACCGGAATGCCACAAAGAGCAGCACAAATTTTTGGGTGACGTGGCCACATGCGACTCCTGCAGTTGGCGGCCTTTAAGGGGTGGCGCAATGGCCACCGCTCTGAACTCGATGAAAGCTATGGGTGCCATGAAATTCAACTCAACCGCACTGGTTAGTTTGCACTTTAATTTTGCAGTTGAGATTGCTAGGAGACATGTAGAACACATCATGGCCTCCAGGTGTGATGTGGTCACCCGCTTGTTTTGGATGTGTTTTTTTTTTTTTTTTCTGACCATTTTACTGACTTTTTGTTGCTGTAAATTCTTGTAACTCAGTTCACCCAGTTGTTGTAGCTACTTGGCTGCTGTTGGCATCACCCAATGAAATTATCACTAAGCCAGTTGAACCGCTTAGCAACCTTTTGATTGAGAAACCTTATGAGTACACTTGGCGGTTTGTCCAGCAAGAGTTCGGACCACCGTGGCCCGTTGGCCAAAAGTTCTGGAACCTTTTTCTCGCTTCTGCGCTGGAAGACTGCATTTATCCAGATATCACGGTTGGCGAAGTGGTTTCCAAAGGCCACTTGGAGACGTAGCAACCAATGTAACGAAATGAACGACACATTTGGACAAACCTCCTGAGTCAGCTCGAACACCTCCGCAATCGTGATGAACATGCTAAGGCGTCGTTGATCGAACGGAGATGCAGCTCTGCGACACCACTTTGAAGTTGCTCGACAGTAGCGGCAGCGCGTGCGAGACACCAGGTTCCAATCAATGGTGGTTTGTGAGCTCAAGATGCTCACATTGGTTGCTCTTAGACCCAAGCCCCATGCCCATGCCTGCATCATCCTGCATCCCATTACGTGCAAGTTTTTGCTGTCATAAGCCTTCAACATATTTCAGTGGGAAGCTCGCAAGAGCATATTGCAGGTTCAATCCGGAGTGCATCAATGTTTTTCTGCATTAGCCGATCAGACCTTGACCTCAAACAGACCTTATAAAGGGCCAAGAACAACAGGTCAAAACTGTTTCTTTTAATATAGGTAGTACTATAGGTAGTATTAGTATGCAAATCAAAGAGTGGAAAGCTTTCTGTTGGAGTATAGAGAAGCAAGAGAAACATACACGCCTCGGGCTTTGGTGAGCGAGACGAAGGAGCAGTGAAAAAGAAAGGGAACCGACAGACAAGTCTGCCGACGAACTCTGCCTCCAGTTTGCGAGCGAAACAAGAGAATCGCCCGTAGTGTAGAACAGAAACAGGTCCACATGCATGGCCAGTGGATGCTTCCCTCTCTGATGCATAGCTTCATTGGTAGCATCAGAGAGCTTTGTCCGCTTGGAACAGGGTTTGACAAACACACACACACACTGACCGACCGACCGACCGACTGACAATAAACACTTCGTTTCAGGATTTTGAGTGGTTTAAGACCGACAGTGACACGAGACAAATCACCATGTCAAGGAGCAATGCATTTTGTCGTTCGCAGCTCGCAGCTTCATAGTCACACAGGATGATCATAAATATGTTTGCTGTATTTTCTCGTGGGGGGGCCATCATCATTGCCACTTGGCCTCGAAGAAACAATCGAGTTCCAAGGTGTAGTCCTCATCTATGCCCCACTGTCCAGCATTCAGCGTCGTCACTACCTCTATTGCTGACAGCAAACACGATTCGCACAAGAGGCTGCATCCACAAAGATGTGGTTCGCAAACACACCGTGAGATTTTCCTTCATGGTGGGATGCAAGGCAACTCACACCGGCAACGAAAATGCCTTCGAGACTAGTCACTAGCGCCAAATCGCCAAGTTTCCCTGAACTAGTTACAGGCCATCTCCAGCCTTGAAGGGTTCTTGAAAAACATTCGTAGTTGAAGATGTTGGAATTTCGTTTTATTGGGTTCTAACGACTTCTCGCATACACTTCAGTGACAGCATTCTTTTTTGCTGCAGAGCTGAAGTCTCTGTGCTTCGCAGCCCATATGGCCACGGGTGGGTGGGCCGGGTGTGGCCATTGGCCTCCCGAGCCTCAAGACTGCAAAAGCGAACATGTCTCTAGAACCTTGCGTCTTCCAACGTCAGACTCTCATGTTCTAACGACTTCTCGCATACACTTCAGTGACAGCATTCTTTTTTGCTGCAGAGCTGAAGTCTCTGTGCTTCGCAGCCCATATGGCCGTCACTGTGTCATTGGGAAGCAAGCGACCTTGTGCACCTTGGAGCTCTTCACGGTCATCTTCTGGACGTTGTAGCCATGCATCCTGCGCTCTTCGTCGCCAGGTGAGCCTAAAGCTTGCATCGTCCCATCGTAGCCGATCTTCTCCATCTGCTCCCTTGGTGCTGGTGCGGCTTCCTTTCCATCAAAAACCGTCCTCTCATTGAGACTCTTCGAATTCTCAAACCCCTTGTTCTTCCGGGGGGCAAGTAGTTGGCCATCCGCTTTGGCCATGCCTTTTGCCAGATCCTTTTGGCGCTCGTGCGACTCCCACAGATAGCCGTGGAAGGCGTCGGAGTTCCATCTGCCAAAACGTTTCACGATGTCCAGGTCCTTGGTGGTCTGGTACATGGCTGTGGCGCCACCAATGCGCAAGCTGTGCGAACCATACCTCGTCGTAGATTGACCATCTGCAACCGCTGCCAACTGTATCAGGCCCTGGATGTCGGTCCTCTGCAAGGGTTTTCCATTCTCCAATCTGAACAAGGGCTGATCTGCTTCAGCACCTGCAAAACGTTCAGGTTTCATAGCCTGGTAGTTGGCCAGCGCGGTCACCACACAGAGCTCGTCACCGCTTCTGAACTGGTTGCGGACAGTGCCCTGATTGTACTGGTCCGTCTTGGAGCCCTTGAGGTAGATCACGATCTCCTCCGCCTGGTGGAAGTTCATGACCTGCAGGTTGTCCCTTCGTGCCTCGATGTCATTGCCCTTCAAGGTCCTCGATGTCCCCCATGATCGCCCCATAGTGACCAAGAACTCCGAGGCTCGCAGCAAGAAGAAGAATCCCACCATAATCGCAGCCCAAAGGATCGCCTGGTCAACTCTGCTCAGGGTCTCGCTGGTACTCAAATTCTTTTTGATCCACAGCAGCATAGCCGGCAGTACTGGGTACTTCCGCTTTGTCTCGGGCTGCCACCGCTTGTAGCCGTTGAGAGCTGCCCAGATTCGCACCTTGTGCAATGTGGGATCTTCATGCCCTGCCACCAGATGGCCCATCTTAATGGCGAACAGCCTCTGCTTGATGGTCCCCTCAGTCCTGCCCATGACGTGCGCCAAGTAGGTCATGAATCGAAGGAGTTCATCTTCATCGATCTTGCGGTCCTCTTTGCTCTCGCCGGTGAGGTACACATCCTTTCTTCCCATCCGGCGCCACAAGCACCATTGCTTCCAGCCAACCTCGTAGCCAGCCCGCGTGCCCTCCGAGAGCTTGGACATCACCGCCTCCGCAGCCAAGGCGTCGAGCCATGCTTGATCTCGCCTTAGCTCACGATTAGCATCAAGCTGTAGGCGTTCTCGACCACGACCAATCGCGCTTGGGAGGACCAATCGGTCCGGAGGCCCTGACTTCGCCCTCTTGGTGGTTTGTCTCCTCCCTCCGACCTTCTGGTCACCCTCTAAGTCGGCCTTCTTGGCGGCAAGCCATCTCTCGTAGTTGGCCCTGGGGTTGTGGTTGTCTCCCTGCCAAGCTCGCATCCAAGCACGCACTTGTTCGTCAGCATGGACTCGATCAGGGTCGCGACAAACTCCAACTCTCCCTCCAGCCTCAGGTCCCTCATTGATTCCCTGGCGCCAGCGTTCGTACCAGGACAGTAGGTGATGGGCGCTTTGCTGCGGAAACTTCATGGCTGCGTCCTTCTTGAAGAAGCTCACCTTTGCTCCGGCTTCGCGAAGCAGATGCAGCTCCTCAAGGCGCCCACCATTCAGGAGCCATTCCTCTTCTGCACTGATTGCTCGCGCCTGGACCGCCTCACCACGATGGTCAAGGACAACCATAGACCTCCCTTTCCTGCAAGTTAATGCGGGGCCCCGGATGTCGTAGAGGAGCTCTTTCTTGTCCCCTTCCTTGTAATGGCCAGCAGGCCATGGCAGCATGCGGTCCCCAGAAGTAGAAATCTTGTTGTTCAGCGTCACCTCAACGTCGCTGGCCAACCATTCCTGCCTCACCGCTCCAGCTGCCGAGTCCAGGGCGCGCTTGATGCTCGCAGGTTCTGCGGCGCTCCGAGGAGCTTCATCCGGGAAGGTCGCATCATTGGCCAGTGAGCCTCGATGAGCAACCAGGACGAACTTGCGCTTGGCCACGGGGTCCCCAAAGTGGGTGGTCAGGTACTCGTTGACATTCACCACATAGTCAAGCTTCTTAAAGTCCGCCTGCATTTCACGAACTGGGCCTTCCCTCGCCAGGTCGATCAGCGCATTCGAGGGACGATGCTCCTTGACAAACTGTCTGACATAGGAACGCGTTCCCCCCCAGCTATCCTCGGCAATCGAGGCGAAAACCCAAGTGAGGTCCTCCTCCGACTGTAGGCATTCTGTCCCCTTCAGGCTGGAGCCCTCAATCGCTGCTTCACATTGATCTCGGTTGCCCGGTAGTCGACAAACACGGCCTCCCAAACATGACCACGCTATCGCCCATGGCAGATGCCCCCTGCCCAACTCGATAGCGTTTCCCTTTGCCACCACTGGACGATAAGGTTGAGAGGGGCGCTCCCCCTCCTGCCTCAGAGTTCCCAGCGATGCCCCTCCAGGCCATCTGAAGATGCCGTTCACGGACTCCTCGATGTAGGACTCCCATTTCTCCTGCGCCTCGACTTTCGTCCAACCTTCGAGCTTCAACTTGTCCTCCACGACCTTCTTCGTCTCTCGGCTCAGCCAGTCCGCTGTGATGTTGTGATAGGTCCTGATGTAGAACGCCAATGTCTTGAACTGGAATCGCACCTCGAGCATTCCCAAGACCCGGAGGATGTGTCGTGCCACCGTGCATCTAGACTGCCGCTTGGTCAACCACGACCTGACGTTCTGGTTGTCCGTGGCATAGGCGATTATCTCCCCATGCCAAGAGCTGCTCTCTGCTGCGGCCAGCCCCACGAAGCAAAGAAGCTCTGCAAGTGCTATTTTCATGCTGGGCTCTTCCTCAAGCTCGGGCACCCTACCTAATGCATGGAGCATCACCTTGGCATCCTCCCTCATGTAGCGCTTGCCCTTCCAGTCAAGTGCGCCTGCCACGTCTGGAGTTGCATCTCCACCCACCCATCGAAGCCTGCTGCTCATGCCTGGAAGAGCGAGTAGTTCACGAGTGGACAGCATGCTTTCCATCGACGATTCGAAGCTGCCCTCATATAGGGGGTCTCAAACCAAAGCCGTAGGAGCGCCAACGTCTCATCCCAACAGCGCCACGCTGACTCTGAGGCGTTTTCATCCTTGACATTCGGCTGGATGTAGCCCCCCACGCACTTGCTTGGACATAGGAAAAGATCCAAGGTGCCGAGCTCCGTCCGCAAAGGGGGTATGGTGATTGCCGCATACTGACTGAGCCCGCGCAGCTCTTGAGCGACCTTCAGCCGCACCTGGCGCACCCCATACTGCAGTTCCGGCAAGGCCAACAGGTAACGCATCTTCAAGGCTTTCGGTTCAGGCAGCCTGATGGTCATGTTCTCCACATTCATATAGAGCCCCCACACGATCTGCTCGGACGCAGGTGTCCCCTCCTCAATCTGCTTGTCGAGGTTCAACGCCGCCTTGCCCCAGATCTTCTCGATGGAGTGGCCCAACGCGTCAACTGCTTGCCACGGCCTCACCCCCATCAGAGGCTCCACGATCACGCTGTCATCCATTAGCCACTCAGAAGAGAACGGGGTGGGTCCATTGACGCCTTCCATCTCCGGCTTAAAGCTCTCATGGTAGGCTCGACCAGCGAGGGCGAACGCCATGTATTCTCCCGGGGCGCCACACCAACCGAAAGGGAGGCCACCGTAAACCAGCTTCACCCTGCCCTCGACTCCCACCAATTCACCGGGCAGAGCACTGCCGAAGTCCGCGGTGTCCTCGGGCGCCACGTCGTGCCACTTGAAAGCCCTGCTCACATCCAGCTTTGCGATCAAGCAACGAATGCCCGGATTTCGGGCCTTCCACCAAATGGCCTTGCGAGCAATCTGACGATGCCGTGGTTGAACTGCTGGCGGATGCTGGTACTTGTGGGTCGCTGCATTAGCCGTCATCATAGCGTGAATCGGGCGCCCCTCCGCACTGATGCTGCGATCTGGCAGTTGCTTTGGTACTCGACCTTGGGGGCATTCGATGAGATTGCTGGTGCAATCTTCTGTCGCATCCGATGCAAAGAGCACGATCCCCCAGTGTCCATCCTTCCAGGCTTTCTGGTACATCTCTTCGAGGTGCTCGATGGCTGAGGGATAGGGTTCTGCTTTCAACCTCCGAGCGGGGTAGTATCGGCGAGTCCGGACTCCATCCCTGTTGGCCGCTTTAAGGTACTGTGCATGGTCAGATTCCAAGCATCTCAGGACCTCTTCGGAAGTGGCACCAATCGTTGGGACCCCAATCACTTGCCTTCTTGCTGCCCTCAGACCTCGCATGGCTTCTTCGAGTGTCCCAGCGGTCCTCAACAGGTCATCGCCCAATTCGACGGCCTGCTTGATCACATTGGGCTCGTACTTGGGGTGCTCCCTGCAGTGGTGCGCATAGCAAAGGGCCTTGTCCAGAACCTCCTCCTTGACACTCTGGCCCTTCTCGGAGTAGACAGGCGCTCCCACGTGGTACTCGTCCTCGATGGTCTCCCGCATCATCCAGCGATTGCCCTCCGTCTCTTCGGCCTCAAGAATGCAGGATGCTGATAGGTAACCCACCCGTCTTTCTTCTGCTCCGTCATCAGCATCTGGCCCGCGTCCCCTTGACCTCGACCTTGACCGTCGTCTCCGGTCCGATGAGCTGCCCGGCTGCTCCTCCGCCTGCTCTGCGTCATCACCCTCAATGCGTCCTCCATTCCAGGGATCCCAAACACCTCCTCCAGGGTAGTACCGTCTCGCGTCCGCAACCTGCTCCCGCGTTGGCACTGGGAATTCCCTGGGCGGGTGAAAGACCGGTTGGTAGTCTCTTCCCTCCGGATATGTAGGCCGCAGCTCACTTTCAGGTTCGGGCGCCGGGCTATCGGGCTCGCCTCCTTCTTCTTGTCCACGCTCAAAGTGTGGTCCAAGCTCTGGCCTGATCAAAGGATCGTACAGGTAGAAGGTGGTTGCTCCAGTCCAGTCGGCGTACTCCGCATCGATCGAGTCGGGGATGTCACGAAGCCTCGCCAGGTCCACCCTCCAGTTGTCCAGGAAGACTCTCTCGTGCGGGGCGATCTCCGACAGTTCCCTCCGCTGCGGGTACATCCATGTCCTGCGATCACTCCTAATGAGGTGGTCCGAAACCGGGCAGTCGGTCCAGTCGACATAGTGCGATCCAAACAAGTGGGTGCGAGGCATCACGTGGTGGCGTACCAGGAATAGGTTGTCCTCTTGAAGGTCCCACCAATCCTCAGAGCGTCCGTCGAGCCCTTCGAGTGGTCGTGGTGGCCCGAAGATGTTGATGTTCCCTTCGTATGGGCGTACTGGTTCCGCCACATCTCCTGGACTGACTTCTCTAGGAACGAGCCGTGCCATGACTCTGGCCTCATCACGAGGGTTCATACGCCTATCTTCATCACTGGTGGCCCCCTCCTCTTCCTCTTCTTCACCTTCAGGCTCCAGTGGGTCCTCCGGGATAGGGATGCCGTGGCTGAACTCACCCTCGCCGATGCTGCCACAATGGTGTCCACGAAGAAGACCAAACCCTTCCTGAAACTCATCGATCTCTGCACTTCCACATCGTTCGGACAATGAGAAGGCTGCCGTGGAATGTGAGGGAGCCGCTTGATGTGAGGGGTCAGACTGTCCAGCATGTTGGTGTCTATTTGCCCCTGCTTTGTGTGGGATCTCCCCTTCTCGGCCATCACTCTCCTGAATCACCTCCAGTGCCTGTGCCACCTGAATGGTGTCCCATCCTGCATAAGCCGCTTGCACCACCAATGCCCAACCTTTGCATAGTCTCGCTGGATACACCTGTGCTCTTCGAGTGCGGGGAACTCCAGGTAGGTCAGACTCACCTTTCACGTCCATGTGTCTGTGCTGCCCTTGGCAACGACGAGAAAGGAGCAGTGCATGCAGGTACAAGCCAGGGGACACAAGGTTCCACTGACCCTTCTTATACCTCATCTCTGGCCGGTCAGTCGGCGCTGAGCCCCATTCGCACAAGTGGGTCGGCACAATGAGTGCTCCTGTAGACTGCTGCAAGCGCTGAATGGCAGGCTGATCCCAAATTTTTGGGTATCTTCCGGATGGCATCGAAGACTCCAGGATGAACTCCTTGTCGTGGTGGTAAAGTGACTCGCACATCCGGCAGGTGAGGTCACAGAAATAGTTGCCCTCTTGCTCGCTTGCCGTGGGGTGCGGACCTCCTTCGGGTGAACTGAAGCTTCGAGTTCCCCCGTTGAGGATGTTGAAGTCGCAATAACTGGTGCAAGGGGTTCCAAATTCCCAAACGTTTGCTGCTGATGGTCCTGGGAGCTCCATCGTCGCCTGCAGGTAGAAGTTTGCCACTTTCTCGTCCTTGAGATCGAACTGCTCGCGACGTCCTTTCTTCTGTAGGGGGTCACTGAAGAGCTCGATGGGCTCGTTGGCGGCCAGTTCTGCTTCCATCATAGCTTTGGTCCAAGATCCAGAGCCTGCAAAGACCTCCTGCACCCTGATGCCATATGCGAAAGCGGGCCTGTGCTTCAATGGGGAGTGTGCCCCCATCAGAATCAGCTCCTGCGTGTCGACTGGGTGTTCATTGAAGCTCCATGGGACTTGAGGCGCTGCCTTTCCCTGTTTTGGGTTGTTGTCTTGACAACGCGGGCATTTGGGTCTCTTGCCAGGTACAAGAGGCGCTGCCGGATCTTCATTTGCGAGAAACTCCCGCCACCCCTCACAAGGCCATTCACGGTCGGATTGTCCACTCAGAGTCAGCTCCGCCGCCACCTTCACCGGCTCATCCTTCTCGATGGGCACGAGCAATCTAATGTGGCCCCCATGGATCAGGAAAGGAATGATGTTGTTCTCACTGCCTGGTGCACTCCCGACAAGGTGGTCCACGTGGACTTGACCCCTGCAGTTTAATCTCCAACATTGCAGTGTCACCTCCTTCAGCTCCTCCAGGACGAAGGCCTGAAACAACCGGTAGTCCTTGTCATGATGGGCCCGAAGACAATCATGAGCGAAGCCTCGGACCTCCGCCTCGCGTGCTCCTATCCAGGGTGCTGGGTCTCCAAGCTCACCGATGGCTTTAGCCGCTTCATCCCATAGTCCAGCCCGGAAAGATTGTGCCTTCAGCCTCACCTCCTCCAGCGATGGCACGCGCTCCGGGTCCCAATCTCCTCCCCAAAGCAGGATGCCAGCTGCGGGATGTAGCACCAGACATTGTCGTTCCTCTTCATCTCCAGGCTGCAAACCAAGTGCACTTGCTAGCTCATCAGGTACTGGTAGCCGGTCTTTGTAGTCCAGATAGCGCCAGCAGCGCCTTTCTGGTCCGCATTGGAACTCGAATTTGCCTTCGCCGTACCCCTTTTCTTTGTGCCAGACTGTGGGGCTGACCCATGCTTGGCGCTCCTCATCTACCCAGCCAACGGATCGCTCTTCTCCCAAGACCTTCTCCGCCTCCTGGGCTAACTCAGGGCATCCCTTCTCGGTCGCTTCCAAGAGCACCTCGTCAATTGTCATCTCCTGCTTCTCGATGATGGCGTTGAGCATCCGACCTCTTACATGAGATTGAAGGTAACTTGACCAGCCAGCGAGCCTCGCGAATGCACCGCCTTTCTCCAGCTCCTCAAGGATCCTCAAGCGTTTCTGGGCCTCCGGATGTTCGACTCGCCTGCTCCACACTGTGTGAGGTTCTGCTCCTGGCCTTGATGACGGGTCTTTCAGCCAATCTGCATCAGGACCACGAGTCAGCTCCCTGAGCTCATCCTCAAGTTGGGTGTACTGGATGTCCTCATACTCCTCCGGGGGCAGCCACCCTTGCTTCTGTCCAGCGCCATCCTTCACCTTCTCGTCCTGCTCTGCTTTGGCTTGTGCTCTCAGCTGAGCAATGCGCCCGTCGACCTGCGCTGGTTGAATCATGGGTCCATTCTTCAGTCCTCCTCTTCTGATGAGCTGTGCCAGCACGGTCCAATGCAAACCCTTGGTGGTGTTGATGGGCTGATGGGCGTGGTTGCAGTCTTTGCCTCTGCTGCACCCCATGTGGGTTGCTCCATCCCAACAAATAGGCTTGCCCTCCTTGGTCCGTGGCCCATGCTTCACTGATTCGGCGGCTTCACGAGGACGCAACCTCTTCCCAGCTGGATATGCCTTCCTCTCGTCCTTCTCCTTCTCCCGCTTCTTCCTGTCGTTCTTGTCGCTGCCACGCTCGCGGCCTCGACCAACGCGATCTTCCTCTCCGCCAGCTTCTCCGCCATGAGGTTCTCCTTCACCCGGGGCATGATCTCCTCCGACTTTTGGTGCTTGGCGTTTGTGGTGCAGCTGGCCATAGATGATGCCCTTCAGCGCCCGCGCCTGTCTAGGCACGCATACCTGCTGGTAATAGCCTTCAGGATGTGCTAGGTCAAAGGTCCTTGGGAAATGGAAGCCGCTGTCTGGTGCCAAGGCAACGAACTTCAGGTCCTCCTTGCGGGGATTGTCGGTGTTCAGGATCCTGCAGAGTTGTCTTCGACTCTCTCGAAGCTCCTCCACCCACGCTGCCTTAAGCTCCTCCCACAAGCTGTAGCAATAGCTCTCAGGCCAGACGTCCGAATCCTGCTCGTGGGCCTTCTCGATCTGCTCAAGGGCCTTGATGCGCTCCTTCTTGTGCTCCAGGCCGATGACTGAGCCGATCATCTTGATCTCATTCCTCGCCTGCTTCAACCAGGTGGCAAAGTGAGTTGGGTACCGGGGTTTAGGCTCGATCTTGTCGTCCTTCGGTGCCTCATACTGATCGAAGTCCCGTGGTTTTGCAGTCACGGCATGGGCGACGCTGAGCTGCCAAGGTGCGAGCGTCGAATGATCCTTCCCACCATGCTGCATCGCTGCTAGCCCGTAAGCAATCCCGTTCGTGACCAAGCAAGGCCACTCGATCTGCTGCAGCTTGGCCTTAGCGTGTGAACACGCTCTTTTCAGGGCGTCGAAGAGCTCCTTGCCGGTGACGTCGGGGCATACCTCCACAGTCAAGGTGTTGCAACCTCGGGCCAAATAGACGTCAAGGCTCTCTTCTGACCCGATGGCACTCCGAGTGCCGGGGTTGCCCTTCTTGTCGCCCTCCGTGGCTTTCCGGATTCCTTCGAGTGCATGTACCACTCGAGCGCTCATGTGGGTCTCCTCTTCGTCGCCTCCAGCTCCGGCTCGTGTTGACACTTCCTCAACCCTGCCACCCATGCCGAATAGCTGCCCCACGATGCTGTCATTGGCTGTCAGTGGATTGTACTTGCCGGTCTCCTCTGCGGGGCGAATGAGGCTACCTTCCTCCTTCTTCTCGCCATAGTGAGCCGGGAAGAGCTTGTCCGGGGTGCTAGGGTTCCGTTTCTCCTGTGGTTTCGGTTGTTCTGCACGAGCTTCATGGTAAGCTCCATCTTCTCTGGCGCTTCTTGCGCTCTGCTGTTCGCTCATCCCCTTAAGGATCTTGATGGCCACCTCCACCTGCTCGTTCTGCTTGCCACAGTTCTTCCTGATGTAGGTCCGCATCGTGCTGCCGATGGTCTGCATGTCCACCTCAAAGATCATCTGGATCGTGTCGATCGCCTCCTTTTGCGTCTGCCCGGAGTTGACGGCGGTCATGTAGGCCTCAACGATGCCCTCGCCTGTCATCTCCTCAGTGTCACCATCAAGCGCTGTGTCTCGGTCCAGCTTGCTCCTGAAATCGTCCTCCTCTCTCATCGCTCGGGCAAGGCTATGGCTTCTGCTCCGCGATCTTGTTCTTGGTGCCAGATTCTCCCTTTGGTGGTCATCATCGCGCCCACGAACTTGCTTGTCGATTCCCAGTTCGGCTTCCGCTGGCCAGCTAGGCCAAAGCTCCCCTTTAACATAGCCGGCACTGTGCTTCCTCACCAGGCTTGCCAAGTTCTTCTTCACCTCCTTCAACTGCGAATCGTTCAGGCGCCTCCCACCTGCAACAGTGCGGCCCTCCCAAGCTGCGAGGCGTTGCATGAGGATCTCTGGAATCAGGTACCCCTTGATGTCCAGTCCAAGGCATTCTGCATCGGGTGGCACCTCCTTCACCAAGAGCTGCGCCCTCGTTGGGTCCAAGTCTTCAATGCCCTTCGCATCCATCATGTCCTCGAGGTACTTTGGGTCGATGACCAAGGTGTTGTCTAGGTACTTCACGAAGACCTCTAGCTTTCGATCTCCACGAACTCCACCTGGTGTATATCCGCATAGCTCTCCCATGCACATGATCCAGTCTGACTGGTCGTTGACATAGTTCAGCTTCAGCTTCAACCATACAGGCTTGCCCATGACGTCCTCCTGCTCCAAGCCACCTCGTGGTGGTGATGGAATCATCACCTTCCCCAAGTCCACTGAGCTTGACCGGGCTGGTGCCATGCCACTCTCCTTCTTAGCATGTTGTGATGGTCCTTCTTCTGCTGCAGCTGGGGGCACGCTAGCTTGCTGACATTCGAACGCTGGACTGCGGCTCCGGCTCTGTGCTCTGCGTGTGAAGCGACGACGAAAACCCTGCAACATCCCATTGGGGTGTGGGCTATCCTTTCTCGCACCTGCTCCTCCTTGTTCACATAGATGATCATAGCAAAGTGGGACACCATGCCGTGCACCTTTGGAAGCCTTGTGACAAGTGAGCACGCCACACTTTCTTTTAGCTGAGGCGCTTTGGTAGACCTGGCGATGATGTGCACATAGAGGAACTCGAACCAGTTGCCCAGGTCCGGGTGGCCTGACATCTGAGACCTCAACGTCCTCGTCCAAGAGGGTCGTCTCCTCCTGGGTAGCCAGGTCGTTGCAGCCGTCTGGAGCTAGAGGCCTCATCTCTCCATCAACCACAAGGCCTATCCTCACTCCTTGACATGATGCCTCATCACCCTCCACCTCGGATTCGGAGTCAGGGTCCAACAAACGCTCACGGCCCTCCTCATCTCTTATCACTCGGCTCACCCTTTTCACAAAACAAAGCCGGAAACAGCAGCGGGCCCCACGAGCAACGAAGCCAATCACGCGCCAGACTCCTCGACCACATAGCCCCAGTAGCCAGCGCGGTGAACCATGGGCATAACGGTGCAAGTCCAGCAACGCTTCGTGATCGATGCCAGCGAACTCCTGGATGTGAAGGGTGTGCTCTGCTCGGCATTCAAGCTGCCTGCAAAGATGAATCTCGCCTGCCTCCTCCAGTTCACGACGAAACTGTCTCGAGGTGCAGCTCGACACTCCACTGAATTTGACCCTGAGCCCATCGCTGTCGATTCGCTTGAGGAGGCTTTCTTCTTGTTGCAAGCGGGCTACATGACCTCCTCTTCGAATCACAACATCATTCAGGCGCCTCCTGCTCCCCCTACCCTTCAATCGCTGTTGCAGGTAGCGGGTATCCGTGGGCCAACCAGTCTTCGGTCCATGCCATTCAATGTCCACCATCGGAGGCCGTGCGCTCGGTAGGTGTGCTTCAAGCCCATCACGGCGCCGGCAACAGCATACTCCACAAAGAGCTTGAACTCCTCGTCCGATCGCCCGACATGGTCCTGTCAGCGTGTGGATGCTGTAGGTCAGGATGCCCAGTAGTCCAGTGTTGAACGTCGCCATGATGATGCAAGCCGTCCAGGGCCACCAAGCTCCAAAGGCCTGCACGCCAATCCCATCGATGAAATAGCCGGCCCACCCTCCATCCACACGTAATCTGCCAGGTCGGTCAGGCGTCCCGAACCAAGAGACGTTCGAGACCAGGCTGCCAGCAGGCTTCCAAAAGCCCCAAATGGCGCCTTCGGTCCACCAAAAGATCCCCTCCTGGTGGGCCTCATCATCCAGCGGCACTCCCAGGTCTTCCTCGGTCACGTTGTCCGTGTCCTCCAAGGTCCCCAGGTCCACCAGATGCTCAGCGCTCCATGGCCATCCTACCACGAGTGCGGTGAGGGCTGAGCAGATGTGTTTCCACATCATCTATGCCAATGGCCACAGTGTGTGGCCATTGGCCTCCCGAGCCTCAAGACTGCAAAAGCGAACATGTCTCTAGAACCTTGCGTCTTCCAACGTCAGACTCTCATCATGAGGCCCACAGATGTGTCGAAACATGACATCACAACCAAGAGTGAAACAAAAAGTACTGTAGTGCTTTGTTCAGCCTGATAGATTCCGCAACCTAGCAGGATTCTACAGACGAGTGATGCACGTAAATCGGAAAGGGCTTTATGGACATGTGTTTGCCAAGAGTGGCGATATTACTATGTCACTATGTGTAAAATATATTATGGCGATTATGTACCGCACATGTCAAAGCAAGGCCTCATTTGAAGAACGCAAATGCATTCTTGCTGATTTTGCGGCTTGCTTTGCCAGTTTCCTCAGTGGAGTGCATGAAAATCCAAACTTGCAACATGTAATGTGTGACGTTATCGCCATGATGTGAAGTCCTTCCTGCGACCCTGGTCGTAACGCGCTATCACGAAGCGCCAAAGGGGGGGCCCAATCTTCATCCCTGGGGTTGCATTTTTTAGGATAGCTGCTTGGCTACCTGCGAGGTGAACTCTTGGAAGAGAGCACTATTTGTCAAATTCATTTTTATGTAGTTTTCTCGTGCTTTCCAGTGTTTGGAAACTTCCAGGTTGGTGAGCTCTGTGTTTGGCTTCCCAGACTACGAAAGCCTTTTGACGTTGAACAGCAATGGCACCGCCCGCTTCTATGCGGGCATGGTGAGCAAAGAGCTTGGTGCGTGGTCGGTGATCGAAGGTGATCCAAATGAAGGCGAGGATCCGAGCGATTTATATCTGGCCCCTTGGATGGAATCAGAAGCACGAAAAAGCCTTTTCCCCATTACAGGCCACATTTCACCAGTGTTTGAAGTTTGAACACCTGCATTTTTATGACTTGGTGTAGGCCTCAATACCGTGCGTTTGTCAACTTGCATTTCGGCCAAGGAATGGACCCAGCCCCTCACCGACGCTTACAAGGAAGCCTTTACTGTGCCAGGTGGCACTGCCTTCTGGCGAGGGAAGCTGAACTTCCGGACTACCAAATCCAAGTGACCAGATTGCAGTGAGTTGTGGATGGCCTGTGCTGATGGAGGTGCAGGTTCTTCGTGTGGAATTAGGGTCCGAGTGGAGGTTCTTCCGGTAGTGTTGCGCAGTTAGTTTCAGGACTTAGGCTTTTGCCGTGCATCCAATTCCACCTACGCTCATTGCATTCCTCAAGCCTGGGGTTGACTAGCGAGTGAGCTTTTAAACTTTGCGCGCACCGCCGTCGCAACAGCGCAACTGTTGCGACAGTCTCCACAGCCCAAATCAAACATGTAGCAATGCCCTACCTGAAAGCCAGCCAAAGCCACCAACCCTACCTCAAGAAACTAAGTTGACGGTTTGTTCAAATTCCTGTCAAGGAAGCAGAAGGTCTTTGTGGAGGGTGGCATCATTGCTTCTTGGCTTCCTTGTCAAAGGCCTGATACTTTCGTTGAATAGATTCTTATATAGATGTTTGCACGTGAACACGTCAAACTAGATGTCCCAAAAACAGATGTTCAAGAGAAACACAAATGGCATTCGGGACAGCCTGCATAGATGTCACCACCTTTTTCACCAGCATCACGAACTTTACAGAAAACCGTTTGGATGAATGCAGTCAACGCTAAGGAGCTCAAATACACCACGATTACGTGTTAATCGTACGAAGCGGCCTGCAAAGTGCATTCCCAAACTGAGTGACAGTGGCACAATTGTGCCGAGTTTTTCAACGTGCTTGACCCGGTGGCCTTGGCTCACCGAATGGTTGCATCTGCCACGTGCGCCTGCTACGTGAGATGTACGCTGGTTTTCCCACACTGTACTGCATCACAAAACCACTTCACTGGTCCACTGTCACCGTAACTTTTGACATGTTGCATTTCAGGCCAGTGAGGGTCATTTTGCAATCCACCCTATTCCAAGTCGCCAAGTAGTGGCATGGAACCTGTTTCTTCAGCTGAATTTCAGCTGAAGGATCGCTGAAGCAAACAACTTGGGAATCGTTATGAACAAATGCAACGATGTACGCGAACCACCGCCACTTGCCAACGATCCCATTCGATCCCGCCCCTTCGGTCGCCGAAACCTCCGAAGCAAGGTTTCAGAGCGAGAGGAAGGCACGAAGTTGGTGCGTGAAGGCATTTTCTCTGCACAAACCGCCAGTGCCAAGATGATTGAGGAGCCTTCAACATGGTGAATTGGCAAAGGACCTGATTTAGCATATTACAGTCACATGTCTTCCAGGCTTTGCCACTGGGAGCCATTTTTTGTTGGCATAGGTATCAAAAAATATTTATCGAATCAAAAAAGCAATATTTACCGAATCAAAAAACACATATTTACTGAATCAATAAAAAATATTCGTTGTGCGATGAAATCCCTTGCAATTCTCAGTCGTGTAGGTGGCCGGTCCTCTGGTCCGCTGGTCCTCTGGTCTGCTGGTCCCCTGGTCCTCTGGTCCGCTGGTCCTCCTGGTCCGCTGGTCCACTGGTCCGCTAGTCCCTTGGTCCTCTGGTCCTTCGTGGATTCGACGAAATCTGCACTTCATCCCCGGCACCCGCGCCTGCCACGAAATCAATATTTTAAGGTGAACTCCCCGGTGCAAAACTTTCTAACCAAGCAAATATGCCTCCTCTATCTCTCTCTCTCTATCTATCTATCTATCTGTCTATCTATCTATCTATCTATGTATCTATCGATCCATCTATCTTTCTATCTGTCTATCTGCAGTTCAACATCCACAAAGTACTACACCTGCCACGAAATCTGCACTTCAAGGTCCACAAAGTCTTGCGCCTGCCACCAAATCTGCACTCCAAGGGCCACAAAGTCCTGCACCTGCCACCAACTCTACACTTCCACCTCAAAAAGTCCTGCGCCTGCCACGAAATCTGCACTCCAAGGCCCACAAAGTCCTGCACCGGCCACCAACTCTACACTTCCACATCCACATCAAAAACTCCTGCGCCTGCCACGAAATCTGCACTCCAAGGCCACGAAACACGACTACCACTACGATACTGCTGCTATTATAGTACTGTTGCTGCTCTTACGGCTACTGCTATTTGGAATATATTTTTTTGAGTCAGTAAATATTTTTTATTGGTGCGTGTAAAATATTTTTTATTGATACGTTAGATATTTTTTTGTTTATCTCTCACCCTTTTTTGTTGCACCTTTGTCTTCGGTTTCTCGGATTGTGCCAGGAGACCCAACGCAAGGCCCGCGAGGCCTTTGCACGAGCCGTCACCACACCGAAGGCTGAGACCAGCGGCTTCAAGACTCCTGCGAGGTGCCCGTCGTTTGTTCAGTGAAGGGCCTTTCCGAGCTGTACTCTTTTAAAACTGGTAGTAACAAGAAGCTAGTAGTAACAGGTGCCTTACTAGTAGTAACAAGAAGCTAGTAATTACAATGCAATCAAACCGTGTCAAAAGGGAAGCAAGAGTCAGTGCAGACCTGAAACCCTAAGGCAAACAAAGCGCCAAACCCTTCTAGTTGGACTAAATTACCCTTCCAAGTGAAAACACAGACAGCTTGGTCACCACGCCACTCCAAGCGGCTGCGGGTGAAGCTGTTGCACTGAGGTTGACAACATGTGATGCATCATTTCATACTAACCCGAAAGACTGCATACCTAGCAGACCATTTAGTACAATGAAACTAGCGAAGAACCTCATCAGCACGTTTAGGGATCCAGTGACGGATGTCTCAAAGTCGTTCCTGGGTTCTATGCTGAAGAATTGCTTTCTTCCACCCAGTGTCATTCACCCCATATATTATCATATATATCACATAGTATTAGAGAAACCCTCAGCATCAATCCTGAAAACATCTGAAAACAAAGCTACTAGTACCACTGACACCAAATGGATTTTGACCTATTTTGACCCGCGCTCGACCAGGATCGCTGGCGCGGGTGGCACGCGCGTGAAGAAGGCCCTGCCTGGCACCTCCATCGGTGGGAAGTTGGACAAGGCACGGGATCCAAACAGCTGAGGACAAGGCCCTGCCTGTCCAAGGTCCCAATGACTGATAGGAAGCAGTTTACAGCTTACTAGATATGGAGATCTAGTCTGTAGATCAGCGGCGACTATGTGGACTATCCCACGAAATCGGCGTGATTGCTTTTCAAAGAGTCCTCAGTCCTCAGCTGTAGTTTGGACAACCTGAAATAAATGTCTTGTGTTGGTTTCGCATTCGACATCAGGCACCACACGTGGGATGTAGGACTCTTCATGTTGATTTGATGGGCAAGGCGGTGTGGAGCAGTGTGGAAAAGCCATATTGTTTGTCGCTTAGAGCCTGCAGGGCGACCTGGACTTGCTGGAGGATGGCCAGGGGAAGACGTGAATGGGCAATGGTCAAAATGCAACCTTTTTCCTGATTACCCACTGATCGCTATTGATTGTCAAAGGAATAAACCAAACTTACGAGTCATGGAAACCATAGAGCAACCATAAACTCTTTAAGGAACACATGCAGCCATTGGAAAGGCGTTCTGCACACGTTGGCGTTCCATTCCGGTCCATTACCCAACGGTGCGGCCTTCCAACGCTCACTAAGTGCAACCCCTTTGGCAACGCATGGGGCCCTTCCATTCCCCCAGTGCCACACAAGAGTGATCCTTTTTGCCCGACACTCTTGTGGACACTCGGACGCCCTTATTGACACTCCAAAATTCACGAGGTCTCCAAAGCGAGCGTGTTCGCCAATGGGGCAGCGTCACAATGCACAGCACTTGCCACAAGAATAGACTGGAACATCTCCAACATGCACAAAGCACTGCGCCCGCCACGCAAAGCAACACTTCCACACCTCCGTGTCGGTAGCAAAGCTTGAGCCACACCATACGTCGGGGATGATTTCTGACAACAACTAATTACCTCACAAACAAAGTCGCACTTCTAGCTCTGAGAGACCTGTCACGAAGACACACCTTTGCCATACCTTCGCCTTCGAGGCACAGCCTTCAAGTCCCACTGAGACATTCAAAACCTCCACAAAGACTAGCGACCGGTCATGGAGATCGGCGAAGCGACGCCGAGCAAACGGCTGACGAGACACATTGTCCACGTTCGTCACCTGCGTGTCTGACACACCATCCATCCATCCATCCATCCATCCATCCATCCATCCATCCATCCA